AATCAGATTACAAACAGCAACTTTGGTTTGACTACTGTCTAGCCCAACAATTTAATATTATATCAATTACTGAGACTAAACTAGCACACTCCCAATACATTAACTTTCAACTTCACAATTTACACTACAAATACTTTACTTCTAATAATAGCCAAACTACATCACAACATCCCCAGGAAGCTAGTATAAGTACAGCTATTTTTCTATCTCAAGCACTTACCCCTTATATCTACAATATCCAAATCCTTCAGGGTACAGCAATTGTAATCAATTTGTTCTTTCCACATAACAACAAAGTTTGCATTATCTTAGCTTATCTTCCAGCACACACTTCAACTAATACCAAAATACAAGACCAAATTATCCAGTAGATAATACAGGCTTTTCAAGTCCAAATTGCACTTATTATTATGGAGACTTTAATCAGGATCTCAATAGAACACACTGATCAACACTCTATAGCTATCTACTAACTCACAACTATATATATTTAGTACATATCTATCACCCATCTATGCCTACTTGGCAACAAGCTGACTTATTTAGTCAAATAGATGAAATATGGAATCTACACCAATTGTAGCATATTACTATACAACCTACTTTAATACCTGCTACAGGTATTAGGGGGTATCCATAAATAATGTTATGTACCTCTATATAGTAAGGCCATTCCAATTGAATTCTTTGTTTAATATAACAAATTTAAAATTTTTTAGTGGGGGAGGGGGATTTAAACAACAATAAATATATATAATTATATAGGCTGCCATCAATAAAAATCAGGCAGATCTACATTTGAAAAAAAATTAATATCTTGATTTTTACAGCTCATATCTCGATGGATTTTAAAGCTATCTTGATGATTTAATATTCAAAAGAAAGCTTAGATCGTAAGCTTTTTTTGAATATTAAACCATCAAGAAAGCTTTAAAATCTATCGAGATATGAACTGTGAAAGTTAAGGTATTAAATTTTTTTCAAATGTAGATCTGCCTGATTTCTATTGACAGCAGCCTATATAGTAATATTTTATAGCAGAAAATCTAAATAGGTTCAATATTTTTTAGTAAATATAAAAGTAACAGTTTACAAAAAAATATCTAAATTGAAGCTATACATATAACTAGTAAAAATAAACATACTAACTTTATCAATCAGATTATTTAATATAAAAATTTTTTAAAAATTATTTATAACTTTTATTTAGCATATTAAAAATTTTTTATTTAGACTAGTTTCAGTCTGGTTTTGAATTATTTTTTAAAAAGTTTGACTCCAGACTCAGTCTGAACTACTTCCTTGTAAACTACTTAATATCTATAAACATGAAAATAATTTATTTATTAATATATATATTTATTTTTAGACTTAATAGATATTTATGCTATATATATATTTAAATATATTCTACTAATAACTACCAAATCTTAGCTATCTTTTTTATGAGTTTTAATTTCATGACATACAAAAAATTCTTTTCCTGCATTTTGACATAATATACAGCATGGAAATAAAGATTTGTATTTTGATTTGAGACTTTCTGGAGGTTCTGCCAATTCATTATTATATCCACACCAATAACAAATATTACTATTAATATTTAATTTTCGACAAGAATAATATGCTAATTCTATTGGTGTTTCACAACTAATTTTTTCTCTTATAAAAACTTCATCGTATAGAATATGGTTTTCTGGAACAAATGGTGATCCACAACTATAGTTCCAATCATCTATAGCATTTTGGTATATTATTTTGTTCTCTGCTGATAATGCACATTCACTATATAAACAAAGCATTTTTCCACATTGAAAGCATTGAATAAACTCTTGAACTCATGTATTTACTAAAATAGATGATTGTGCACGTTCATTATTTGTAATCATTGTTATACGTGTTGGACAATATTGTTCTGATGTTATTGACCAATATACTAATTGAAATTCAGCATAATGATCTTTATTAACTATAATTTAATAAATTTTATTCTATTAAAATTATATATAATATAGTATAAACAAATAATCTTAAAACGTACTTTTAGAAGGAATAGGATCTGGTAGCCAATCTAGTGAATTAAAAATATTATCTGGAAGACGAACAGGCTGACAAATATTACAAGAAAGCTGGTTGCATTTTTTTATCTAAAAAAAAAATTTAATATTTAAATTAAAAATTAAAAAGTGATTTGTTATTCCAAATTTACTTAAGTTATAATTTAAATATATAGATATTTCTAAGTACAAATTGCATAAATCAACTTTTGAAAATATGATTGTACAGTGCTACATACAGTATTATTTGAAAAAGTATCCTATTAAATATCACTAGAATACTATTCAATTGCATATTTTAATATTGTTAAATAATATCCCGGTATTAATCAAGTAGCCTAGATTAATAATTTTGTTATATAATCAACTCATAATTAATATTATTTTCAATATATTTCATTATATAAGTGCAGCCAAGGGAAAGTCTGTCATCGGATATTCAATTATATTTCCTGTACATTAACCGTCTGCAAAAAATCTATCATCATAATAAATTTTTCATAGACAGCTAACTGTACACAAAATATAATTGAATGTCCGATAACAGGTTTTCTCTTGGCTGCACTCATATAGTATCCTTTTGTTTATACAATATCTTGGAGATATTATTAAGATTTTTTAAAAAAAACAGAGTACAGTATGTAGCGCTATATAATATTTAGAGAATAATAATATTTTATTTATAAAGTTGAATATATATTTAAGCTAAAGTTTAAAAAAGATATTGCATTTAGAAAAATCTAACCATAATAACAATTTACCTGAAAAATATATTGGTGATATCTACAATATGCTTGCATAAACCCTATAAAAAAAATATTATTATTATATTCCGAAAATATTCCGGATTTTTATTTTAGAAAATTTTCAGAAAATTTT